TTTTTTTTTTTTGCCCTGCCCGCATGCAGATGGCCTGGCTCTTCGCCTTGTGCTGGGTGCAGCGCTGCGAGAGCAAGCACGTCACCACCACAACTGCTGCAAGGGAAAACACCACAGCCCCGGCCCCGCGCAGGGTGCGGAGAACTCTCCCGTTAGGGCCGGGTGGGCTCCCAGCTCTCACCTCACACTGCGAAGGGGGAGTCATGGGGAGGGCTGCTGGCCCGAGGCACTTTTTGTGTGCCAGGAAGTAACGGTTGCCACCAGGAGCTGGTCTGGTCTGGCAGGGTCTGGTGGGGCAATCCTTGGAACAGGGACAGTCACTTGCCTCTTGGCTGCCTGCACTAAGCCTGGCAGGGAAGTGCTCGCTGTCCTTCCATGTGTCGCTGTGGTTGTAGCGGCAGTAGGAGTAGGGCAGCACGTTCTCCTTGTCATTGTTTCAGATTTGATCCATCCTGAGATCAGTGGTAGTCAAACCCGGCCATGGCTCCTGTCAGTGCAGGTTCAGGCCAGGGCAGGTCACAACAGTGTGACAGAAGAAACCCTTGACTTACGGCAACGGCTGCCGCTTGCTCACATCTCCACTGCTGCAGCGTGGTTGCCCATGGCGAGACCCCGCAGCCATCTTGGTGACCGCACCGGGACCTGGCTGGCATGAGCTTCCCTCTGCGAGGGGCCCTGGGGGTCCCTCAGCCACAACACCAGGGTTTGCTCAGGCGGGAGACCCCTTTGACGTGGCTCGGGCAAGAGGAGTCGGTAACGTCAAAGCCACTGTTCAGCAGCCAGCGCTGCTGCAGCCTCGCTTCAGCTCATCCGGGCTGCCGCCCACCCTGGCACATCCAGGTCTTTCCACAGCGCCTATGTACAGCACTAGCTGGGGACTTAAGCGATATGCTAAACCAGTCATGGAAGAAGGGACGAGGAAAGGGAAAAGGGAATAAAATCAGATTATTTTGGTGTGTCTCTCGGCTTTTACAGGATTGGAGGCTGACTGTTGGACATGCACGTCTGGGGCTTGCAAGGAGGCAGTGGGGGCGTCCTGGTGATGGGCCCAGAGCTGGCCAGAACAGAGAAGGCTGCAGGGCTGCATTTGCAGAAGCATCTTCATGGTGCCATTTCTGCACGGCTTAGTAATATTAATTTCTAATTGGCATCTTGTCTCAGCCACCGGCTGGATTTTCAGATTGAGAGGTTAGGGAGTATGAAGATTTTGTAAGCACTCCCTCGTGTGGAGCTGGGCGATGGGACGCAGGGAGCAGGCCAGGAGCGGGAAGGCCGGCTGGAGTCCTTGAGGCAACCAGAAGCCTCGCTCCTTCCCCTCAGGCCAACAGACCCCTGCGGGGCGACACGCAAGGGTGTCTGGATGCAGAATTAAAGAATCCTACGGGGGTTTGTTTTTCATTACTTGCTTCTCAGCTCACTGACAAGCACTCGGTAGGATGCGCAGCCCCTTCCCCAGAGCAAGCCGGCTTCTGGCAGAGGCCGTGGGCACCCATCAGAGGCGCTGGCTTCCCCCTCACCGCTCCCTTCCAAGGGCAGTTCGGCTCTAACGCCAACACAAGCACATTCTCACCAACCAAGCGCACGTATTCAGCCTGCAAAATCTCACCAGGCGGGCGCTGGCGAGGGCAACCTGTTCTGCCCTGGGTGCGCGCCATTATTCCACCTTGTGCCGGCGTGAGGCTCGGGGAGGGCAGGGCAGGGCAGCAAAGGCCGCACCCGCCTTTTTGGCCCCGTTCCCCGTCTCTCCCACGCCCCGCAGCCCCCGGTTGCGGTCCCGCCGGAGCCCGAGCGCCGCCCGACGCGGGGCCGGGCCGGGGCGCTGCTG